TTGGTTCACCATGTACAGGACAGCTTAATAGGAAATAGCTGACATCTGATAAGAAATAATGACAATTACAAGACAATGGAATGGTAGGTATAGATAATAATGTTGAAAGGAAAAACGCTGTCAACCAAAAATTATATTTTAAAAAGCTGCTCATTAAACATGAAGGAAAAATAAGCACATTTCCAGAGAAGGAAAGACCAGGGAAATTTGTTTACAGATTTAACTTAAGAGAAACAGTAAATGAAACCCTTATGATGAAAAGGAATTATACCCAACAGCAATTTAAATTCATATAGAGAAATGAAAAACATCAAAGTGGTAAATACACAAATATATCATACAAAAATACATGTTTTCTTCTTTTGACCTCTTTTAAGAAAGCCCAGTCAGCAATGACAGTACACTCTTGTAATCTCAGCACTTGGACAGCTGAGACAGGAGGGTCACCATAAGTTCAAGGCCAGCCTAAATTATATAGAAAGATCTTGTCTCAAAATAAATGAATAAATAAATAAGTAAATAAATAAATCCACCAAAAGATGACAATGAATAATAATGATGAAATTATTTTGTTTGGTTTATAGTATACAAAGGTATAATATACACCTATGAACAAAACAATAAGGGAATGAAATGGAGGTCTGAACCATGAAGGATGAGCTATGACCACATGGAATGATGCTGCTGTTCTTTACCAGCCTCAAGTCAGTGTTAACCTGTGATAAAGTATGAACAAGATTGTGCACTCTTCACAAGCACACACAGAACATTCTCTACAGCAAGCCATATGCCACACCATGAACCAAAACTCAATTAATTTTAAAAAACTAAACCAATTTAAATAATATTCTCAGACTATCATAAAATTTTATAAAACAACAACAGAAATAAATTTGAGAAACCTCCATACGTGTGGAAATTGATGAGTTCACTTATAAATCCTCAATGAGTCAAAGGAATAATCAAAGATAAAATTTCACAATATCAGCAATTGCATTAAACACAAGGATTGCATATCAAAATTTATAGAATACTAGGGAAACAGGAATTGAAGGCAACTCATTGCTTTGGATGTTTATATTAAAAAAGAAGAAAAGTCTCAGGTTAATGACTTAATGTGGTGTATTAAGAAATTAGAAGAGGGGGAAGTAAATTTGTTCAGTGCAAACATAAGAGGGAAATTAAACAGAGCAAAAATGGAAAAAAGAAAAATAATTCAAGAGAAAAATCAGTAAAATGAAAAACCTGTGGCTTGTGAAGATCAATAAAATTAATAAATCTAACAAAAAATAAATATACATTACCATGCCCTGAAAAAAAAACACAGATAATGCATAAATTGTCAAACCTAGGAATGAAAAAGAGGACATCAAACCTGAATCTACAGAAATAAATTCCTGTGTAAGTGAATTTTATAAAGAATCATATGCCAAAATTTAGACCATTCAGATAAATGGAAAAATTCCTAGAAAGAAAAACATCCAAAACTGACTTAAGAAGAAATAGAATATCTAAATAGACCCATAAGGAGTAATAATGTTGAATTGGTAACTTTAAAAGAAAACCTTCCTATAAAGAAAAGCATTATCCAGATGGCTCCCTAGGTGAATTCTATAAAATATTTAAAGAAATAACACTAATGTGGTGTAAATTTTTAGAAAATAAGAAAAATAGGGATTCTTCCTGAGATACCTGATAAAGCCAGTACTATTCAGATACAAAAACCAGAAAAAAATTAGAAAAGAATATTACAGATACATGTACCCAATGGGCATAGATGAAAACTAATAAAATGTTAGCAAGCTGAGCCCAACAACTTACAAAAATAATTTTACATCATAATTAAGTACAATTTATCCCTGTATGTGAAGGTTGATTTAATACCTGAAAATTACTTAATGTGGTAAACTTTTTATAAAATAAAAGCCAACCAATATAAAATCATCTCAACAAAGTATTAAAATTTAACAAAATTCCACACTTATTAGCAAAAAGGAACTCCTCAAAATCTGGAAATTGGCTCAAGTTGATAAAGGGCATCCATGACAAATCTGAATCTAATATCATACTTAATAGAGAAAGACTGCTAATCCCTTGAGTCTGAAATGTTCACTCTTTCTACTTCTGTTCAACATAGAAAGATTCAGCCAGTGCAATAACCAAAGGAAAAAATTAAGAAATATAAATGAGGATTAATATTTTTTATTCATGACATGATACTTTATGTAGAAATGACATGATACTGTATGTAGAAAGAGCCTAGGGGATAGAATGAATAAACAAATTTAATATGGCTTCTGGGTTCAATGCAAATTAAATGCACAGTGAGATACCACGAAGTAAGTATATGGAGAAACTGGAACTGTCATACACTGCTGGCTGCAAATACAAAATGGCAAAGCTACTTTAGAAACAGCTTGACTGACTGTTTCTTAAAAAGTTAAATGTGTACTTAACGTAAAACTAGCCATTATACTCTTAGGTATTTACCCAAGACAAATGAGAACATACCTAGCCAAAAGTTTGTAAATGAGTGCTTCTTACACTTGATCTTAGCCAAAAGGCCAAGAAGTGATAAGTGAATGCTCCTTATATCATCATTTTTATAACAAAAATTATAAGTAATATACATATGCATCTAGTAGTATAAAGTGTGGTTCCTGCATTCAATGAAATACTATTTAACAATCAAAAGAGTTAAATATGGAATAGCACAGGTGAACCCCAGAAATGTGAAAAAGCCAGACAGAATAGACTACCTACTTTATAATTCTATTTACATGAAATGCCTAAAAAAGGAAAATCTATACAGACAGAAAATATACCAATGGTTGCCTGGGGTTGGTGGCAGAAGTTGAAATTGGCTGAAAATTGTTAGAAGAAATCTTTATGGGGTGGTGAGAATATCCTAAACCTTATTTGCATTTATGGTGACAAAAGCCCATTTATTAAATGGACTTTATTAAATATCAATATAATTAATTTATTAAATAATTTATTAAATATCAATATAATTAATCATTCAGTAATTTACTAACTATAGAATTACAATACTTGGATTGTGTGGTGTTTAACTCTGTTAATGCTATTAAGAAAAAATTGCAAGATCGTAGGATTTTGAAGCCTGTGCAAATTCATAACAAGTGAACAAATGAACTTCAATGTATTGCTTAGGGGAAAATGACAAGAGAGAAGTCTGTATATGTTCAATACACGAGAATTTTTGCCATGCTTTCTACCCATGTACCGGGAACCCAAAATATATAGGGCCAACTGTGGTTTAAATATAATCTTGCTTGGAATTGAAAACAAATTTAAAATTTTAATAATATATATTCATGAAACATTCAGATGAACTTGTAGGTGGCAGAAGAAACGGGGATTTCTTGAAACATTAAGTGCTCTCTAACTTCTTACTAAACTGAAATAATCATTTTGGTAAAGATGGAGCTGTGCTTCCTTTTGCACTTCATTTGCTCACCATTTGTTCTCCAATTTCTGCCTAGCACAGTGCTGGCACAGCTTAGAAAACAAATTCATAGTTGGCAAATGAAGGAATACCTCATGACTTTCAAGGTTTTGTATTTTGTTGTTATTGTTGTTGATTGGGTATGCAATTACAATTACGTAATAAGAAACATTTATTGGCAAATACAGATCTATATATTTCCTCCTGGTGTTACTGTTGGACGAACAAATGAAGAGAGTTCGTCAGGTAACTAAGTTCGGCACACCTCACATTTGTATTTCCGGCAACATAAACGTAACCCTATTCACCACTGTTTTACAATCCTATGTTTTCCCCATCTCCTGAGGTATTCAACATGTATGTATTTATTTCTAGAGAGGTGTAGTTTGTTATCATTATATTGTCATTCCCTCTTATTATAGATATTCATTATTTTTATGTGCTCTATCTTCTGATTTTCCACAATTTTCTTGTGATTGCATAAGATTATAAGTATCGTAAAAGTATTTGAAAATACATAACACAATAGGGAGCACTGATCAATTGTAAGGCATTAAAACCACAGAACTAAAACACTTTGAAGACAATGAATCCATTATATTTGATTATTTTTTAAAAAATGTTACCTTAATAAGCTAAGAGAAAAATTAGTATGAATGAAACAAGAAATGATCATGTTAAGATAACAGGTGGTTATAAATGTAATTGATTCTATAATTGAAATATTAAGTTAACTCAATAAGTTAATGTATTTTGTTCAGCTTCATGTTATTTTGTTTGAGAAACACAGAATAAAGTAAACTGTGGCATTAAACGCCAGCCTCATTCCAATTTATTTTTATGGCATAGTGCAAAACAGCTCAAGCTTAAAGTACATTCAGGCACTAAGACTTAAATCCCTAATGGGAAGAAAGTAGTTCCATAAACAGATGTGATCATGGATTCTGAGTTTATTTGCTTGTGGCAAAAATAAAAGTACCAACTCAATAAGTTTTAATTTATAAGCATCTACATCAGAAAGCCTTTGGGCGCCTTGAACAAAACTGACTAAAAATAAATTTTAATAAAATAAAACTTCATCTGTCCCCTTCTCCATTCACACCAGGGAATGTAAATCCTCCAACTGAAAAAAGGAGAGATTTCTCCACATCTCTTGGAATTGTAGTTATGCTGTGCTCTAGAAGACCTCACAACTGCCTGTGTTCATGACACTTGCAACTGTGAAAGAGATGCTCGGTGTGAAACCCAGTGCAGATTTCTAGCTCGCCACGGGTCCACCTGACCTGTAGTTATGTAAACATGTGCAGCATTTCTGTTGTGTGTCTCATTCTCTAATGAAACCTCATTTGTGTATTTCTCATAATAAAGACATGTCCTAGTATGTATCTAAATAGTGGCAAATGCTACAGTCCTAACAAGATGCATGTGCTGCACTAAATTGTTTATTCATACAAGACCTAACTAACAGAACAAAAAGAAAGGTGTGTGGTCCCTGATCTTCACAAGAAGTTCTTCTCAGTACAAGGCTCACCTCACATTTTCCAAGTCCAGAGTCTCACTGGTAAATTCCAGGATGTCAGCAGCTGTTCCCACGAACATGAGGAGCAGTTCTGAGAGTTGGTCCCGAGTGATGGTGCCTCCAATGGGGAGAAGCCATCTTCCAATTATTAGCATTAGCAGGAATGTCTGATGGAGTCCCAAAGTCCAGTACTTCTCACACACTGTAGACAGGTTGTTTACAAAAACTTTGGCCTGTTTAACAGAAATTTTATAGAGAAAGACATATTATGAACTGCCACCTTGTAGAAAGCTACCTTCCTCACCGTGGTTTTCAATCAGGAGTGTTCTTTTCTGGATGTTTTCAGGAATTATTCGGCAGTTATTAAGAAAAAAGTATACTTCTTTCATCTGAAAACTCCAAAAAAATTCTAGTTGGATCCTTAAGAAGAGGTTATGACCAGCAGATAATTTAAATCTTAAAGTGAGACTGCACCATACGTTATCTAGAAATTCAATTTTACAATGTTTTAAAGATCATTACTCATTCTGTTGTATGGTATAACAAGGTATAACTCATGAAAATTTTATAAACTCCATAAAAATGCAAAAACAGTCTTGTATTTGTGCTTTATAGATTTTAAATGTGAATTTACTAATGGGAATATTTTTACTATGATACAATCTTTCCTTTTGTTTATTGTTGCTTTAAAATTCTGTTATACCTAACCTTAGGGAAATGTAAGCATGGTTACTCATTTACCTAAAGAAAGGTAATAACTAAAAAGAGACAGATATTAACACTAAAGTTATTACTTTTATTCTGAATATTTAACATATCCAAGAATTGATAAACTCAAAAATAAATTTTTCTCTGCCTTCATTCTTGGACAAAGAGAAAAATTTACATCCCATCAATATATTCAGGATGACATCTTATATCTATTTACTTTTTGAATAAGTTTGAAAGTATATTACAGGCCCTGTAGGCTAAAATCTTGTAAAGACAACAAGGCCTTCTGTCTCAAGAGGGTGGAATAATGATTCCCTTTCATTTACGCAAGTGACTTAACTATATTTATGGCAAATCTGTTTACCTTCCCTAATCACTTATTGATATCAAATGCAGAAGTACAGTAAGAAAAGGATAAAAGCATGCAAACCCACACAGAGGTCTTTCATTTCTACACTTCTTTGTATCTTTTCTTTGAACTTCATATATATCTTATCTAATTCACAGAGGGAGAACATTAAGATAAATGTTAATATTTTAATTGTCAGATCTAACATGGAGAAACACAATCAGTGACAAAGATAAGTTGTGATCAGAGCCTGAAAGAATCCAGCGTTCAGTCTGTTCTCCTTTGCAGAATCAATAGCCTGTCCACGTTTGAAAGTACATTTCAGTGATATAAACCTTGCCTTCAGTCTCTCCTTACATTTTAGAAGAGGTCATGGCCATCTGGTGACATACCAGACATGAGAAGATAAACAGTGTCATTCTATTTTGGCTAAAACTTTTTCTGTTTTATTAATTAATAAAGATATAGAGAGTATAAAGTTAGCTAGGTTAATAAAACAAAGAAACAAACAAACCAAAAGATATACTAATGGGGAAGGAAGATATAAACCTGTCCTTGCTCACAAATAATATAATTCCATGTAGAAAATCCTAAAAAATTGAAAAGAAAAAACCCTGGAAATAATAAGCAGGTTTGTAAAGTAAAAGTTGATGCACAAAAGTTAATCTCTTTCTTATAGACTATTGAAGAAGTGAAATTTGATGCTTAAAACTGCAATATTATTTACATTTGCACCCACGAAAATGGAGGAAAACACATAGATGAGGAAAGTTACAAAATTTTGGAGAACAAAATAAAAGAATTAAATAGAGAGATATTATATATTCATGGATAGCAAAACTCAATATTCTCAAGATATCAATTCTTCCTAGTCTGATCTATAAATCTGACGCAATCCCACTCAAAGTCTAGCAAGATATTTTGTGGATATTGACAAAATGATTCTGAAGTTTATGTGGAATGCAAAAGACCTACAACAGCCACAAAATGTTAAAGAAAAACAAAGCCACAGAACTGACACTACCTGATTTCAAGATTTACTATCAGCTACAGTAACCAAGAGAGTGAAAGAATCGACAAATAGATCCATAAAACGGAATTAACAGCCCAGAAATAGACCCACATAAACCCACAATTGATTTTTAACAAATTAGCAGAGGCAATACAATGAAAAAAGATACTGTTTTCACTGAATGATGCTGGCACAACTGGACATCCGCAAGCAAAAACTACAAAAATGAATCTAAGCCTAGCGCTCCTACTCTTCACAGACATTAGAGCAAAATAGATCATAGAACTAAATGAAGTATACAAAACGTCTAGAAGATAATATAGTAGAAAATGAGCACAGCTGTGTGTATGTCAATGTCTTTTTAGATGCAACACTAGAAGAATGATCCATGGGGAAAAAATAATAAACTAGACTTCATTAAAGTTAAAATTTTCTGCTCTGCAGGAAACAACAAAGAGAGAACAAAAAGACAACTATGGACTGGGAAAATGTGCAAAAGACATATCTACTAAAGGAGACAAGATCTTGACAGATACTTCACCAAAGAATATATAAAAGTAGCAAATAAAGATAAGAAAAAGATGCTCCATATCATACGTAATCAGGGAAATGTAAATTAAGATAGTAGTCAGATGTTACCTGCACTCATACTAGATGACGAAAATCCAGAGCGTTCCCAATGCTGAGTGCTAGGGAGAATGTGAAGCAGAAGAAAATCTTGTTCATTCTTAGTAGTAATGTTAAGTGACATAACCAGTTTGGAAGACAGCAGTTTCTTACAAAGCAAATCATAGCCTAGCCATGCAATCCATGCATGATTTTTACCCAGAGTTTAAAAGTTCTGTTCACATTTAAACGTTGCACATAGATGTTTATAGCAGCTTTATTCATAATTGCCAAAACATGGAAGTAACCAAGATGTTATTTAATAGGTAAAAGGATAGCAAATAGTGAACAATGGAACGCTCTTCAGCAATAAAAATAAATGAATGATCAAGCTTTAAGAGATATGGAGGATCCTTCCGAGTAACTAAACAAAAGAATCCAGCCTGAAGAAGCTATACGCTGGAGGATTCCACCAGTGTAATATATGCAAAAGGTAGAACTTAAAGAGATAGTAAACAGACCAGGGATTGCTATTGGCTTGGGGGAAGATGAGGGATAAATATGTGAGCACAGTTTTGTTTTTTTTTAACAGCAGTGAAAATACTGTACATGATATTATGATGGTGTGTACATGTCATTATGCATTAGCCAAACCTATAAAATGTAAAATACCAAGGACTAACCTTAATATACACCACAAGATTTTAGTGATAATCACTTGCAGTGTAAATTCATCATTTTGGTTTTTTTTTTTAACCAATTACCATTCTGATGCAAGGTGCTGATGGTGGGGGAGGCTCTGCACATGTGAGGACCCGGAGCATGTAAGAAATCCCTACCTTCCTCTCAGTTTTTCTGTGAACCCAAAGCTATCTATAAAGTCTTTATTTTTTCCATTTCAGACTAGACACTTTTTTCTGAGACATAGTCTTGCTCAAGTTCAGACTGGGTTTGAACTCATTATGTGGTCAGGCCTGCCTCCAACTTGAGGCAGTCATTCTGCCCCCACCTCCGAGTGCTGGGATTACAGGTGTGCACCACGAGCAACTCAGACTGGACTCCTTTTATGCACTTAAAGTCCTCACCTTTTTCACACTTTTATAGTTCATTTCCTTTTAGTGCTGAATAATATTCTATTGTCTCAGTTTACTTATTTATATATATAATTTATGTATTTATACATATTTAGAAATCATAAATCTTTAAATGATAATTAAAATATTGAAGTACTATATATTTTCTGTGCTCCATACACATATTGTCTGAATGGTGTTCCTTAATACTGAAGGTTATACATATATTTACTAAAACATACCATACATATATGCAGATATTTCTCCTTTAAAAATCTACCTGTTTAATGACTATTTGGATTTATAACCCACTGCTAGGACTAACAATCTGCCCTTTCATTTATTTTGCACAGTTCAGTCCCTTTGTTTATAGATCCTTAATGTCTCTTTTGTACAGTGTACCTTGTTTATACTGTTCTGTAACTTTTCCTGATTGTACTGTATAGTGTAGTACTATAGTTTTATGTTCATTATACATTACAGTACTGCATGTAAAACTTATGCAATTAAAAGCAACGTCATCAAGTTGTTGTTTTCTCTGACCATTTGTTCTGGATGTTGCAATATACATACTATGTACAATTCCTCATTTAACAACCTGGTTGCCAGACCAGAACTTGATCATTACACAAGGAGTATCTGTGCATAATACCTATCATGCAAGTAATACATGATTACTAATATGTGAGAATATGACTATTTTATGAATTCCTGAACCAAATATTTACGTTGGAAAATTTCTTCAGGGAAGAATCAGCTGGGAGATATAAAGCATGTTTTCATTACCAAGTCCCCAACTTGCTAAGTCCTTTCATGGATGTTGGGAAGATCTCTCACCGTCTCAATGATATCCTCCACTCCTTTGGTTTCCTCACTGAACATGAGAGATTGTCTGAAGTCATCTTTTCTGCTGGTGTTCTGTGACATCCTTTCAGATTGGATACCGCAATCCTGAGAATTGGGGAAGCATGACAAATAGTCACTATAATAGGGTTTCAATCTATTCAAGAGATTATAAACAAACTCATTTACCAGGTTCAGACTATAAACTGGAGCTAGAAAGCTACTTTTCAATTGAGGTAGAAGACTGTCAACTATTCATGACTTATTCTGTAGGCCTCTGAGGAGGTAGATGTTTCAGTCATTATAGAGAACTACAGGACTTATGGATTGACAACAGAAGTTCCCCTTTGAACCCTGGAACTACTGTAATAAAAAGAAACACCCAATGACAACAATAGAACATTTAAAGATCTAGGCCAAAGCATTTATGTGTCTTACCCTGAAACCTCATTATTTAAAATACCATTCTATTCAAATAAATAATCCAATTTCTTTCCCTCTTGCCTGGCAAGCAAGCACTGCAATAAGCAACAAATGAGCAGGTTTGGTACTACATAAATTTAAGGGTCAGTTCAGAAGTCAATTTAGGTTTACAAAAATTTTGCCTTGAATGGCATGTTTTGTTCCCTCTTTCTTCACTGTGCATATAAATTTCTGCAAGTAAATTTTACATTTTTTTTTTTCCAGCCAGATATTTGGTACCTCAGGTAGAGTAGAAGAAGGAAAAAGAATATGAGAGAGGAAAGATCCAGTCACTCAAAAATGTATCTGTAGCCAAGGCATATTTTACTAAGGAAGTTTTTAAAAGGTTAAAGTTTTAGAACATCTACAGTGCTAATATATATTTTAAACCACATACACATATATGCCACTAGTGTCATCACCCCACAGGGATGATCACACATTTGTTTTTAGGGAGAAATTATTTTTGAAGAGCTATAAATATTTTGTCTTAATTATCCCAGGTACTTCACTGAGCACTCTATGCCCTACTTGAAAAGGTCAGATAAAAAGTCTGACAAGAAACTATTTTTTTCTACCTTCCATCCAAATAACTAAGTTATGAGTGAATGACAAGAATAATTAAGAAAAATGGGCGTGTACCAGGTCTAGGAGCAAAAATACAGCTGTTTGCACACTTGCTGTGTGTACATGCATCTCAACCTCCAAGGAAAAACAATGAAGATTTTAAAAAAAATCTTTGAACCAAATCACAAATACTCATTGCTGAATAGTTTTATGACTAGCTACGAATTTAATGGTTGAGAGGCAACAGATTTTTACCACTTTGTCCCAAGGCTTGAAATCAGATGGATTTTTGACCTCCTTATTACTAAAAAATCCATAAGCCTCTTATTATTTAGGAAAAAATCATTTTAGTGCAATATAAGCTAATTTGGGAGCAAATAGTTTTGCAGCCCATTTTATAGTGTGATTTATCCAAATGCCTTTCCACTGTTATTCTGATATAGATTGATGAACTTTCCTTTATGTGACAACTCCATTAGAATTGTAAAGAACAGGTGATTTACCCCTTAAGCTTAACCTGACTTACAATGTATTTTGTTCATATTGTTTATATTATCTTTGTGTAGATAATTTTACGAAGATGACTTGAGCAGCAAAGTGCAGACTTTTCATGGGCTATGATTTTGAAAATTTCAGTGGCTTCAAAAATAGCTCTTTGGATCAAACCAGACTGTGACACCATCAAGACCAGGACATTTCCACTACTTAAACTGTGGCATTTCATAAATAGACTTCTCCAGTGCTTAAGGTCACAGTCATCATAACCATTTTGATCCACACATTCTATAAGATTCAGAAATCAAGGTATTGAATTGGTTATCTAAGAGAAATGTCTTCATGAAATAGGTCAGGATGTTTTCCTAATGTCAAGTCATTGGTTAGAACATTTAGGATGCAGATTAAATGGAAAAAAGGACATTATTCTTTTCATCATGAAAAACTGAAATAAAACAAACTCCTCTAAAACATTCATATATTATTATATACTATAATTTATACCATATATAATTGTATAAAGCATATTATCATAATATATTATGAAGGGTCTATCATACTAAAATATATGTACCATAATTAACTTAATGAGTAGTGTTTATAAATGAGAAAATGTATCTGAAAATACTCTGAAGTACAGGATTCTAAAAAAGAAAACTGACTGTGACAACCAAAATTCCTGAATGGACCAAGGGAATTGCTCTACTGTCCTTTATTTCATCATTTCTTGTTTTTTTAAAGTGTAGTCCCAACATTTTTTTATTTCTCTCACTTTTCCTACTTTTATCTCTGCTTACCCTGCCCATTTCAATCTCTGGGCATTCATTTTAATTCTCAGTGTCAAATCCATTACTACTAAAGGTTCAATTTCTTTTGTAGTATGAAAATTAGAGAGGTACTGCCTGGGGCTCAAAAATCTCTTTTTATTAAAAAGAGAGTTCTTGGTTGCATGCGATTTGTTGTAATGGGATTTGACCTGTATATCAATTAACTGCACAGTGCAGTTATATTATAAGGGCATGTGGAGAAATGAGTTGTTATTGTGGGTGATAGCCATGCCATAGACTTGCATGTACAGGGAAAAAATTAGATTCAAACCACCAGGATTCTCTTTCACACCCTACAAAGTAGTAAGAGTTAGAAGGTAGAAAGTGTCCCCTAATTCCTGTAGCTACTTTTTAAAAAAAGTCATGGTAATTTAAACCAATTAATCTACCATTGCAAAAACCGCTTTGGTACAGAGGTAGAAGTAGCCTATGACTTTAATGTTTTTCAGAAGGAGACTTAAGGAGAAAGTATGTTTTCTTCTCTGTGCCTAAATTTGGGACAAGCAATCACTGTCAGAGGTTATATATCAAAGGCTTATGTTTACTATAAAATGACTAAATATAGCAAAAAGTGTTGTATGGGTTCAATTCCCACAGATTTTTCCCAAATATTTTATCAATGAAAGTAAGAAATATTATATATTAACCACAGTCATAGCTCAACTTTGAAGTCCAAAGTGGAACTTGATGCCTTTGCTGCCTGGCCTCTCTGGAGTTCTACAGGAGGAGGAGCAACAGGACACGGCTGAACTCAGCCTAGAGCCTGCTAAGTAGCACTGTCTATGTGGAAAGAAGCTCGATTAAAGCATCTACATAAACATTACAGGCTCTACTGGAAGCCACCGTCTACTTTCTAGGTCAATATGGGCGAATACATACAAGCCCACCTTTCCCCCAACTTCTCTCCTTTAACCTTAATTTCAGGACTCTGTAACAGTGTTCCTTATTAAAGAACACAGCCCACAATCCCCCCAAAATGAATCTCCTATAATCTGTGTCTCCTGTATTTTAAATAGTCACTTCGAGTTTGGAAATATTTATATAGCACAGATGAAGTACTTTTCTGTTAGTTTGTAGTTTCTAAAAGTGTCATTTTACAGAATTTCACATCATTGGAGTCGGCTCACTTAGCACAACAGAGGAGCTCACTGAAGCCGCAAAGGTTCAAATCCAGTCTTCACAACAGGAATATGTTGTGCGTGAAGTAGGGACTCTTAGGGACAAACTTACTGACACAAAATGGCAATTAACTATGTTATCTTAACTGTAAAACAAATGGAATTATTTTTTTGACAAATCTTGGAGTCTCTCCTTGCACTGTCTCTTGTTTATTCAATTCTTCATGACTCCAGCCCCTTAAAAAAGTACATTTCTGACGTGAGTCAAATCATACTGTGACTATGATTGCTGAATATTCCAATTTTTGGTTTGCTAACGGGAAGTACCTGGGTCTTACGATGCATTTCAAGGAGCCATAATGATGGAACGATGCTAATCAGATATAAAAATATGGCTGGTGAAAACCTGTGAATGGGGGGAAAAAGATAATTCAGCTTTCACAAATAAAACTGAAGAAATAAAGAAAAGAAATAAAACAAATGAACGCACCCAGATTACAGCAAATCCAACCATTTTCTCCGAAGTGTTTATTTCCATGGGGGAAGAAAGCATTATGTGATACTTGCCATATGGATTACAGGGAAACACAGTAACTGCAAAAGGCACAGGCAGCTGTCATTCTCACTGAATTCTTAATCCAATTAATAGATGGCAATTTTAATACGGTTTAATGGGCCACTGCCAATTGGTTACAGGCACAACGCTGGATATTTTGTATTTAATATGTTTTACAAAATGCAAACATAGCGATAGTAAATATCTGAGTTTTCAGCATTGCAATTTCAAAATAATTGGCTACGTTTTTCAACATTAACTTGAAATTCAGAGCGCACAAATAATAACATCCTGCTAGAGCACAAAAATATCAGATACAAAGGATGAGAGATAAGAAAATCTCACTGGTTTTATGTTGATTTGCTAACTCTGAAAAATAAAAATACAAAAAAGTAGCTGAAGAGCTTTGTATTTTTGGAAAGGCTGTTTATCTATTCATTATTTTCTGGATTGAAATTCGGAGAGGAATCTCACGAGCAGGCTTTTGCGGTCAGACACCCAGGAGTTCCAATGCCATTCTACCGTTGTCGTGAATGGATATCGTCACCATAGCAGTTACCGTGGGCTGCCATGCAGAGTACACGGCTTAGAGAAACTGATTTTCCTCATAGTTCTGGAGCAGTCCAAGATCAGGACACAGCACTGTGGAGGTCTGGGAGGGCTCTCACTGGCCGCTTTCTCCATGTGTCCACACTTAACCTTTCCTCTGCCCACGTTCTGGGAGGCCTCTGTCTCTCCTTTCAAGGGCACCAATTTCATTGGTTTAGAAACCCACAATTACGCCTTCATTTAATGTTAATTTCCAAATGAACCTCGAAATCCTGTGTCATTTGGGGTTAAGTCTTCAGCATATGAATCTAGGGGGGGGGATGCCATTCAGTAACATGGGTCTCATAGGGGCTTTTATTACACTGTAGCCGGCAGAGGACAGCACTCAGTAAAGACAGATATTATTAGTAATATCAAGAGACATTGTGCAATTAAAATGTATTCTTAAAATAAGGTAAAAATAATAAACCTTCTAGATTTACCTCTTCAATTTGCATTTTATTTTGTATTGGGCTCTTGCTTGATAGAATACCTGAAAGTCAACATTGTAAGTCAATGTATTTTATTAAAATGCTCTCAGGACACCCTTCTACTGTGTGTGTGTGTGTATGGCAGGGGTACTGGGCATTGAACCCAGGACCTTTTCAATAAGATTCATCTTCAGCTGATTTGTTGTTGTTGTTGTTGTTTAGATGGGGTGTCTCTAAACCACACTGGGCTCAAACTTGTGATCCTCCTACCTCAGTCTCCCAGAGTTCTAGGATTACAGGATTGTGCCACATGCCCAACCACACTAACACTTTTGAAATGAAATGCAACCAAAACTATATTGTAACCCAGGGAGAAAACTAAAGAAAGATAAATGAAAAGGGAAACATTAGGATGGATTTTTAAAGGCTATTAACTCTTTCATTAATGTCTTCTTTCAGCTTCTGAGAGAAAGGGAGAAAGAGCAAGAGAAAAAATTCTCTTTAAAAATCAATATTTAATATAGATACTTTCCTACCTTTGATTTCCTGCCAAAATCAATTTTGAAACAAAGGGTTATGGTCAAGATATTATTAAAATCTGATTTGGAACATGGCTAGGCTGCAGAGAAATATCAAAGGACCATGTTGGGCAAGCTCTTTTTAAAAAAGGGATAATTACTCTTCAACCTTACATATCAAAAGAAACATCAGGAGAGAGTCTTTCCTGTATGAAATTGAGAAGGAAGTAAATTCTGATCAGAGGGACAGTTGGAATATGTAAATTTTTGTTTGGACACGTCAAATGTTGGACAGAACTTTTATTGACTTTCAGGATTAATTTTGAGATTACCTCCCCTAAGAGTTGCTACAATAATAATCTGGGGAGCAACAAACTGAACACATATTGACTCTTGAAAGACTCTAGAAATAAAACAATGAGCATAAATATCTATAATTCATAAGACTTATTTGTATAATTGGAAAAATCACTTCAACATTTTTTCCTAAGAAACTATTTATACAAACACACACAGCACAAGACTCAAGATTTTCTGTCACTTAGTATAGAAAATGTAACTCTGTATTCTGATGATCATTCGAACCCTCCAGTATCTGGCTTCATCTCCATTTCCTCTTCCTCTTCCTCTTCCCCTATGATATCCTACCAAGCTGAGCAACTCAGCACTCAGTTGGGCTGTGGACTTAAAACAAAGCAAAAATGCATGCTGGGGTTGTAGCTCAGAGGTGAGGATTTGGTATGAGCTCTAGCATTGCCAAAAAAAAAAAAAAAGAGGGTTAGAAAGCTACCTCAATCTCTCATAGTTAGATTTATTTGAGGTAAACAAAAAAGGAGGTAGGAAGAAAGAATCATCCTGAGACTCCAGGAATTAATGATGTGTCAGTCAATCTGTAACATTCTTGAAATCACCATGGGTCCCTGTTCAGAACCACATTTTCTGTATTCTTCCAGTTTGGCTAATCTGAGAAGAAAGGGTCAGAAATGGCTTTAGAGCAAATGTCTCTCTGCATTATGGAAGATTTTTTTGGGAATATCCTTTGCCCATGACTCTCCATCCATATCCTGCTTGTACTGTCAGTGTATGGCAGAAATTAGTCTTACCCTGAATTGCCCTAGTCCTGACATGTGCTTTATTAGGTTGTAAGTGTGTGTACGTAAGCCTGCTTCATGCAAGTTCTTTGATGTCAGACTCTGGGTCTTAGTTTCTTTTTTTTTTTTTTTTTTTTTTTTTTTTTTTTGTTTTTTCTCTGGTACCGGGAACCGAACTCACGACCTTGCGCTTGCCAGGCAGGCGCTTTTGCCACTGAGCTAAATCCCCAGCCCCTTAGTTTCTTTATATCTCTTCCCTTTCTCCACTTCTTCATCTCTTCTCCCCAACTATGTCAGCGTTTTATGAAACTTTCAGTTAATGTTTATTAAGTGAACGTTTAAGTGTCTGAATGTATGACTGAAGGATAGACTGAACTAAAGAAAGAAATGAGGGCTGCTGACACCTAGAGGACTCTCATTTCAGGAGGCCCAGTATTATGCATGTTTGTTGAGCTGTGACTTAAAAAATCATATGTCCTAGTAGAAATTTCACGAACATTGAAGAGACAAATTTAAATTCTGCCTCTTTCTCTCATCTGTCCTTAGAAATTCACTACCTTCTCTGAGACTCAGTGTTCTCCATAAAATGGGGTCAAATAACATGAATGTTAAGTGAGACCATATATGTAATGCAGCCAGCATTATGGGTGCTCAAGACACATCGCTGCCGTCTTTCGTGGGCTCAGCTTGCATGACATGACAACAGGTGCGGCACCTTCCTCCACGGTGACTCTGGACACCAGCTTTGAGGGATGGGTTCTTCCAATGACCTGTGATCAACTTTGTTTTTGAATCATGATTCTCAGTACTAAACCTACTTAAGACAACTTGAATAAAAGGGTGTTTGCAATGTGGAGGACATCATTAGACCTTACTTCACATTCAACGTTGAGGCAATTGCTATCATATAGGCAGCGTTTGCAAGGGGCATTTCCCACCTTAGTTTCCCAGACAATGCACAACCTGGGCCCTGCCTACCTTCTGGGTGGTGTTACTCGCTTTTCTCTCACTGTGCTCCTATAGCAGTGTTTTTGTTCTGGGAAATCAGTTAGATGCCTCCTAACTTAGACCTTCACATGTATACCTGCCTTCTTAGAAATGCCTTTTCCGCAATCTCAGACAACTCAGGTCAGGTGTATGTGTGTGTGTGTGTGTGTGTGCGTTTGTGTGTGTGTATATATGTTTCTCTCTAGAAAGCTCTCCCCATTCCTTGAGTCAAAAGTATGTTTGCTTGTTCACTTTTACTGCAGAGATTTTCAAAATTTAAAATTAAACATATGTATGAGTGTGTGCACATTTAATGTCATCAAATTGTTGTTCTCTAATAATGTTAAATAACGTAAGCACAACAACGGTATCTGTGTGCTCATAATTACAGTCTTTTCTTCTTCCACAAGATATCTGCCCAACAATATCTTGTGATTTAATTAGACTCTAGGACATCTACCCTCTTGACTCCCTTGATGCTTTGTGCTGGTTTAACTAGGAATCTTATCTTGAAATATCATCATATGTTGAATTTTATTGGAAGTTTCACTGAAGTAAATTGATTTAATATTGTTCTGCTCCTATGAAAGTTTTAATAGTTCATTCTATTATTTATTGTTTTGAGGGTTTATAGTATGATTAATTATTATCTATGCAATTCATTTTGTGAACTGAGAAAAGTATGGATTCTAAAAATTAGTAAACCAGCTCTGTTCTCACCTCTTGTTTCGTTTTGTTTTTTTAGTTTTTTTTGGTTTTTCTCCGGTACCGGGAACCGAACTCACGACCTTGCGCTTGCCAGGCAGGTGCTTGGCCGCTGAGCTAAATCCCCAGCCCCTGTTCTCACCTCTTGATGTGTAATTACAAATCTTTTCTTAGGAAAGGAATGTCAGCTGGGCATTTTGGCACATGCCTGAAATCCCAGCACTCTGGAGTCTGAGGCAGGAGGATCGTTGCAAGTTTGAGACCAGCCTAGGCTACAAAATGAGCTCAAAGCCAGCCTGAACTGCACATCAAGACCCTGTCTCAAAAAGACTAAAAAAAAAAGAAAAAAAAATGGAAAAGAATGTTGCTTCAATATTTGTCTAGATGCTATCAGGAGTCAGTAGATGCCAGACACCTTTTTGAAGAATAATGCCATAGAAGGATCTGGACACCTCAGCAATAACTTGTGTCTTATTTGAGGATACTTCTTTATAAAAATACAATATACTACATGAATAGAAAACACACAC